AGTGACTCTTTGTGACTAAGACTGGATTTATGAAAAACATTTGACTATATTGGTAATATTTTATATATATGTTTACATCCAATGATCTAAATTTACCTAATCTGGTATCCATAGAATCTAGGAATAGCATTACAGAGCAAGTTAGTTCACCTACATAAACACAGAGACATATTTTCAAATTTTACCACTAAATTTACAAAGGTTTTGAAAATGTATTGAACCTCTTAATAACTATGTACAGCATATATACAACTATATACAACATGAAGCTTTCTTACATAAAATTTTAATAGAAACAAATATAATAAATTTAAATGTTTACAAAAGTACAAATGCTCAATTTTGAAAAGTAACAAGAAAAATCTCACCTTTGATATATTTTTCTAGTTTCAAGTCAATGTTTCTAAAGGGACTATTACATCTTGTTCACATTAGTAGTGTTGCCAAAGACACAGAGCAAAGAGGTAGGAGTTTCCTAGCTGACATGAAGCTCAGGCTTGGATTCTTACTTCTCCTGTATCTTACTATTTTCATCAAGACTATGAATTTTTGAACACTTGGCATCCTAAAACATTTAGCTTTTTGTGAGTCACTGGTAAGCATGACTGTGTCTGTGTGTGTGTGTTGGGGCAGGGGGGGGTGTATGTTAAACTATACTCCTGAGAAAAAGCAGATCATCCAATCTAAACTACAATATTGATCCATACACACCTAGTTTCTAGTTATCAACTGGTTTAGCATTACAGTGTTTTTGAAAGATTTCTGCCTACCACAGGCAATGTAACACCACGAGTGAAATGATCTAAGATTGAAAGTCAGAATTTCTGTGAATGTAACAGAAACCTACGACAGGTTCATAATGCACTGGTAGGTCTTAATTTTTTTTAATATTTATTTTTTTTTAGGTGTAGATGGACACAACAAAAGGCCTTTATTTTTATGTGGTGCTGAGGATCGAATCTGGGTCCCGCCTGTGCTAGGCGAGCGCTCTACTGCTGAGCCACAATCCCAGCCCCTAGGTCTTAAAATTTTAATCAAGCCTTTCAACGAAGTCTTTTTTGTTTTGTCTCATTGTTTTCAAAATGATATAAGTCACCACTCAATAAACAAAAGTATGACTAAGATACTTCTTAAAACTGGTAACTTTAAACTATTTTTTAAATGTAAAACAGTAAGAAAAATGCTTTACTTTTTGTCCCAAAACATACCTGTATGTGTGTGCATGTGTGGATTCACATGTTTATGTAAATACTCTAAAACCAGATTTTCATAAATTCAGAATGTTAAAAATAATACATTAAAATATTCTGGTATTTTCTATTCCATGCTATTTTATTTTTTTAAAATGGCTACATAGGAGAGTACAAAATTTCCAACACGTAAAAATAATTAGTGTTTGAAAAGACAGAAGTGCTTATTACCCTGATTCATCATTATATACATGTATTGAATCATCACAGTATACCCCATAAAGCTGTACAAATATTTGTATCAATAAAAATAAAAAATAAAAACGAATGCTGATAATAATCCATTAAACTGATTTTAGAATGAACCAAGTGGATCACAGACTATAATTTAGTAATTTTTGATCCCCTCTCTCCCATCCACCTGGAGGAATTTATTTATTTATTTTTTTGGTACTAGGGATCGAATCCAAGGATGCTCTATTCTGAGTTTCACACCCAGTACTTTTTATTTCCTATTTTGAGATAGGACCTGGCTAAGTTGTTGAGGTTGGCCTTGAGTTTATGATCCTCCTGCCTCAGCCTTCTGAGTTCCTGGGATTACAGGTGTGTGCCCAATTTGTAGAAATTATCTTAAAATGATTCAGTGGTAATAGTTTTTGGTAATCTGTCAGGGTTGGGACAGGGAAAAGAATCCAATCTTTTTTCCCTTTCTCCTTGACACTAGAGGAGAGCCATAAATTAGCAAAAGAAAGAAGTCTACCATTCTCCATGTGAAAGAAACTTGCCACTTGCCTTCTTGCTTTATTTGGCCCTGCTCTAGCCCAGTCACTCATTTTTTAGCCTTTGCTTGGCACCCTTTACAGAGGTGAACTGTGAGGTGCACAAGATCCCACAAGGAAACAGCAATCCTCCTCTAAATCAAAGAACTTTAAACTTATGTTAGGAAGCTCTTGAAACTAGCAAAGACTAAGTCAGAATAGATTCTGAGGTGTTGTTTATTTTTAAAAATATGGTATACTTCTGGGTAGGTGGAATAAAAGAGCTTGAGAGGCTGGGAATTTTGTGTCCTTAAAAATATTTTACAAAATAATACAAACAATTAATATAACAACTTATTAAGAACTTATTTCCAGCACCTAGAACAAGATAAATAGAAGAAGCTCAAGAAATATTTTCTGACTTGAGCTAAGGATTATGATGTAATTCAACTATGACTTCACAATGGGAAACATTTTCTTTTCATAAAATTGTTACATAATCTTATATAATATATAATGTTTTATACTGTTATAATTTTGCTCACATTAAATTCACTTAGGTTTTCTGGAAAAAAGCAAAATGTTTCAAATACTAATCTTATGAATCATGATTGCAGTTGCTGTGATTTGTCTGCTTTGATTATTAAAGAAAATTAAATTAGATTAAGAGAAGAAAGGGTTCTGTCGCCCTCTTGTGGTAATTTTGTTGTACTGTATTCCCCTGGAATTCCATATCAATAGATTTCTTTTAAAGAATCATAGCAGTTATTTTGATCATAAATTCCTGAACTTTCAAAAGCAGTACATATACTTTCTTTTATGAAATTGAACCAAATTCTATTTCAGTTCATGATACCCCCAGATTTTCCCTCTCATTTTTTCTTCTTGTCCTCCTTTTCCTCTCCCATTTGCTTTCCTCTACTCTACCAGACTTCCTTTTACTGGCCTATTAATTTATATTTGGTTGGTTCTTTTTACCTATGAATAGAGGCAAGGTTACCTGTTATACATTTATACATGTATATAACATAATTTTCTAAAAATTTATCCTCATTTCCTCCCCTTATCCATCCCTCCACTTAGCGTCTTGAACTCCTACATTACTGATCTTTCCTTTATGTTATCCTATTCTCCTGTCTCCCTTTCTTTTATTATACTCTAGCTTCTGCATATTAGAAAAAAAACATTCGACCTTTGAATTTGTCATACTTCACTTAGCATGGTATTCTCCATTTCAATCCATTTACCAGCAAATGCCATAAATTCATTCCAAAAGCAGTACATATACTTCTGTTCTCTGGTACACATAAACTTTCTGCCCTCCCTCCAGTTCAACCTTAGATATATGGTCTTTTCCTTGCTGTTTTACAAAACATTATTCTGGTAGGTTTCAAATACCACACATACCAAAGGAATTTTTCTGAAAGTTACTTTTCACATTAAATGCACATACAAAATAATTATAGTGAATCTCCATCATCATACAAAGGCTTTCAGTGAACGGAAATAACTCAAAGTGACTGAGCTTTGCTAGCATTTTCTCCCCAATAGGTCTGAACTATCTCGATAGTTCAGAAATTTCAGAGGCAAATAATACTAGTCTGAACATTTTATGTTTTCAAATGTAATAAAATAATCTTTTCTTTAAGATGGTTTAGATCTTACATAATGTCTTATCCTGTCTCTCTCCCCCAACACCAATATATTCAGAGCTCCATATCTGCAGTTCCACACTGATGGGTTCAACCAACAGCAGACTGGAAATATTTGAAAGAAAAAATTTGTGTTTTCTAAACAGGTATTTCTTTTTTCCCTCCAGTCATTAAGTTAGAGATGATTTAAGTATGCAGGAGAATGTAAGAAGGTAATATGTGAATACCAAGTCATTTCAAATAAGGCACCTGAGTATCTGCAGATTTTGGTATCTGCAAAGAGTCAGGGAATCATGGACACTGAGGGACAACTTGGATACTGAAGGATGACTGTACCTCTAGCTTTGTAAAATTGGCAACATGTAACATATGCCACTGTGAAATAATCTGTATAAATAATGATGACAAGGTTCTGAAACAAGGCAAGGCTTTGATGACAGAAAAAAATTTGAGAAATAGTAAAAAGAATCATTTGATATTAGTTATTGCGAGTATGGGGTGAAACGCAGTCATCAAGTTTACGTTCTAGTTTTGGTGACTGAGATGGAAAATAATAGTTTCAGACATGTGGCATTTAAGGTGCCACCAGGGGACAGCAAATAGGTCAATGTGTTTGAGGACATGGAGTTCAGCAGAGAAAGGATGGCAAATCATCAATAGCTAGATAACAAATAAACATGGAGAGTGAAAAGAGATGAAGCTGGGGTTGGGATTAGCAACTTTCAAGCAGAACTGCAACTTCCTGTTAACGGAGGCATATATAATGATAAACTTTGTTCATCTTGTGAGAAAAAGGAAATGCTTTAGAGTCCCTTCATTTTTTTACATCAGAAAACTGAGGGTCTAAGAGATTAAATGATTTTACTTAAAGCTACCATCTGTAGAAGTAAATGAGAATTCAGCCTTCCAGGTTGTGCCCAAGGTATTCCAGCCTACCATTCAAATATTCTCTTTCCAGTATTATGTCATAATTATTCTGCTTCATAATTATTCAGAGAACAAGAAGTAAAAGATCCTTTCTTCAATAACTGTTTCATAGTTATTGATACTTCTGTTATTTGTATATATCATTAAAACCAAAATGCTACATTTTTAAGCAATATAACTGGTTATCAAATAATATGCTAAATTTACAATTCAAAACATGTTTCATGAGTAATCTGGGAAACAGAGAATGGCCAATTCTATAATTATGAATAGCAAAGGGCAGGTTTATTATACAGAAAATATTTATGAGACACTTCACAGAGCAAATAGCTACAGTGGTTCTTTATTGTCCTTTCTGAAGCTTAGACGGTTGAAAATAGGATTCACTAGCAAATTCTAACATGATCCCAGCACACATTTTCCTAATTACACTCACTTAGAAAAGCAAGGAAGAAGAGATTTCTCTGAAATACCTGCTTGGTTTGGCCGTTGCCAGCTTGGTGACTTGATGACATTGGTGGAATCTACGGGCTTGAAGGCAGCAGCAGTTGTGAGGCTGGCCACCCCTGGCCTGCTGGAGCCTGGGCTTTCCAGAGTCTCCGACATGCTCCGAGTTGAAGCTGCAGATGAAGCCAATTGCTGAGAAGGCTCCTGAGAATTACTGTAAAAGAAAGCAGGAAACAGTTTTGGTGAGAGCATAGCAATCTAACTGTGCAATGACCCTTTCTTTTCCAAATCTATTGAATGTTTAAGGAAAACAAAATATTAATCAATTTAAAAAGTTCTAAAATCACAACAGGGATTGCTTCTCTTTCAAACAGAAAAAAAAAAATGTCAAGAAAAAGAAGTGGCTTTTTTTTTTTCCTTTAGGTACTCTCTTTAAAAGGTTTACCATGAAAGAGTGGGCTATTGAAAAACACAGAACCAATTTCTTTAAATGATAGGAATTGCCCATCTCAACATTTCAGAAAAACCATCTATACTAAAATAATACATTACTGGAGAGCCTCTCATAAGCTCTATGAAATGGCGTCCATATTTCCCCTTCTGCACATTCTTCTGGTATTTTATGAACTGTTTCCTGATACCTCACCAGTTACTGTTTTCACTTGCACGCTCACTCATTCAGTAAAACCTAAACCCTACTCTACTGCCGGATGTTACACCATGCACACAGGAATAAATAAGAAGCAACATACCCTGCCTAACACGATATGTCCTGTATTCTGGATTCCTAACACTAAGAAGAAAAGATTCTAGCCTACCATTATTTTCTCTCAACCAGAGTTATATGCTTAGCAGAAGCCTTATCTCTGCTGGTTCTGGTTTGGTTTAAAAAAATCATGACTTTTATTATCACTTTTTATTTACAATTTTACATACAACATCTCCAAAGGAAGTAGCAATTTGAGGTGGCCCAAACTATAAAATATAGGCTTTGAAATGACAAAATATGATAGTGGTTATTTTTCTAAAATGAAATATAATAACAAAACAATACTTCCTACAGCTAAACTTTTCAGTACTGGTAGCTTAAATAAATCTATGCACAGAAACTCTCTTCCTTCACTAACTGAAACTAATAGCTGGAAGAAAAGACTTATAAAGATAAGGTACTATATTAATGTCTTTAGTAAAATAAATATCCTCAAATTATAAGTAAAGATTTAAGTAAAGATTACTTCAATAAAAAGAATTTTCAAATTCAATTATGTGTACTATCCTACCAAATGAACCCTTCTGGCACCTAATTTGCCCAATTCCTCTTGAATCTCTCCTGACACCTAATGCAGCAGATATGTGACTGCCTATCCTTAGGCATATAGGAACTTGACTGGTAAACTGTCCCCAACAGTGAAATAAAACTTTCTCTCAAAGACAACAGTGGCTTACCATGCCTCAACTTTTTATTTTATTTTTTTAATTAAAAACAATCTATACCATATAGATACTTTCTTTCTGAGACTTTGGAATTCTGATGCGTATAACAAACAATTACTAAAAACCTTAGGTACTTAGACTCTGTCCAGCTTATCTTGTAGATAACACTTGGCACAGTTTGCCACAACTCCTTACTGAAGGAATTAAGGACGTCCCACGAGACTCCTCTGGAAGAAGACTCTTGGAAACCTGAGCCTTATTTCTTATAGGCGTGTCCCATGCACCTTTTTCCTTTATTGATTTTGTTTTGTATTCTTTTGCTATAGTAAATCTTAGTCATGAGTTTAACTATATACTGAGTTGTGTAGGTCCTTCTAGTGAAACATGAAACCTAGAGTAGTCCAGGGGCACTTCTGATATTAAACAATTTTGAAAAGTCATATTAAAAATACTTTAACTTTCTTGAAATATTGTACCGTATTCTTTTAAATTGGTGCATTATAATTATACATAATAGCAGGATTCATTATGCCATATTTGTACATGGACATAACATAATTCCATTGAACTCATTTCTCACCACCCTTAACTCTTGTGCTTACTCTTGTACTCGCAAATTCTAGTGTAACAGAGTCAGAGCCATCATCTTTGACTATTTCTGATCAGGTTAATGAGAAACTTGAACATGCTTGCCGTTAAAATAGACTATACAATGAAAAACTTACAGTACTTTTTTTTTTCTTTTTTGGTACTAGGGATTGAACCCAGTGACACTCTACCACTGAGCTACATCCCCAGCTCTTTTTCATGTTTTTTTAAATTTTGACGCTGGATCTTGCTAAGCTGCTCAGGCTGGCCTTGAATTTGTGATCCTCCTGCCTAAGCCTCCTTAGTTGCTGAGATTATAGGTATGCACCACTACACCTAGCACTTTGATTTTTATCATACATAAAAAGTCTTTGGGGTGCAGCACTGGGTTCGATCCTCAGCACCACATACAAATAAAAAATGTTGTGTCCGCCGACAACTAAAAAACAAATATTAAAATTCTCTCTCTCTTAAAAAAAAAGTCTAAAATTGTATTCTTAATGGGAATGTTGAACACTATTATCAGTAAAGGAAACATAAAAAGCATTAATGGAAAGAAGCAAAAACATCATTGATTAGTGGTTAAATTGACACCTTTTAAAAGTTTTGTGATACATTATTTTTCTTCTCCAAGCCTCAGTTATGTACACTTCAAATGAGGATAGTACCTTGCTGGCTAGATTCCCATGAGACTTTGCTGTCCATGTACAAATTTACCACAATGAATCCCACTTTTATGTTTAATTATAGTTCACTAATTAAAAAAAAAAAAAGAAAGAAAGGGAGACCAACAGAGTATAGGAAGGAGATCAGGGGAGAAAGGGGAGAAAAAGGGGAGGTACTTTGGAATAAAGTGATCAAATCATGTTATTTGCATGCACAAATAAGTCACAATGAATCTCACTATTATGTGTAATTATGGTATAACAAAAATCATTAAAAAAGATTTTCATGAGGCTTAAATGGGATAATTATATAAAAGTATTTAGCCACCTCTAAGGCACAGAATGTGGGATTAACACATGAAAAGGATAATTAATGTATTCAAATAATACAATTAAGACTTATTTTCAATATTTTTATAAAATAATTTTACATGTCTATGTGTGGTGCTGGAAATTGACTCAGGGCTTTGTACTTGCTAGGCAAACATTCTACCACATAGCTACATCCCCAGACCATAACTAAATAATTTCTGAAACACACAACAGAAGTAATTTTCATTCTAGGATTAAATTATTCATTTGGATTTGACAAAATAAAAAATTCTAATAATCTAAATAGTCATAGTTACAAGGAAAAAATTTATGACCAAGCAATACTAGAAATTATAAATGAAACAAAAGTTACAAACTGAAAATAACAGTTTTAATGTTATATGAAGAAATTAGAATTTAATTCCAGTAGAGTTGCTAAACTGTCTTAGAAGAGAGTAACCAGGATAATAGGAATTCAGTGCCAAGCCTAATGGATTCTGGTTGTGAGGATTGGTAATACTGGCCCAGGGTATTAAAAAAACTCAAGAGAAGCATGAGCACAATCCTAGTATCTGCCATGTGGATTCACTCTATGCGGCTACCTTCTCTTTGCCTAATGCCAGTGAGGCAAATAAATAGATTTGGTTTGATAAAAGGAAGTACTTTCTAATATGTAAAATTATCCAAAGGAAAACATTTGTTCCTAAGGGTGCCTTTCATGAGAGCCCTGTCACCAGAAAGTATGTAAGCAGAGCATGGAACCATTAAGAAAGAACAGATGGACCATTAAGAAGGCAGAGGGCTAAGTTACAGCTCAGCTTGGCTTTCAAAGCTTTCTAGGCAAAGTGACAATTGATCTGCCCAATCATAACTATCTCTCTGTCACAGAAACTGTATTCTGGCCATCTCCATTCTCTACCCCAAATTTTACGTTTTCCAGGCATTATACACAGTAGGTACTTTTCCCACCCCTCTGTATCCATAGAAATTCTACTTATAATAAATAGAACAATAACACCCATCTTGTACTTAAAAAAATATTAAGTGCTCCATATTAAGCAATTAATGTATTATTTAACACTCAAGTTTCTAGAAGTAGAGACACTCCTTTTAATTCATGGCATTTATTAACCGTATGACATATAATTTTACATTGATTTGTAAAAGATGTTTTCAAAATTATCATTAACAATAACTTCCTTATGTATCTTATCTCCTACCTTACTTATAAACTACCTGAGGTTAGGGGCTTTATTGCGACTTTGGGCATTTTACTTAATACTAGTAAATTTCCTCATCTGTAAAATGTTATTAAAATACTACCTTTATTCCAAGGTTACCGAATTAAATAAATTACTAAATAATAATCATCAAGTGCTTATTGGCACAATGTCCAATGCAGAGTCTATGCTCCAAAAATGAGGGATTATTATTTCTACATCCTGAAATACCTGTCTAGTTCAGTGATAATTTTACTAAATTAACATTCCTCATGTAACAATTCTGCTTCTAAATGTAGTCTGTGGATAGTTTTAAATCTAGGATCTTGATCCCAGACACAGTTTTGCTTCCTCAATTCAATTTTAAATAACATCATATTTTCTAAAATTCCCATGGGATAAGTAATCACATAAGATTAAAAATATTTTAATTTTGGTTATATCCTTTGTACATAAATTGGTATATATTCTCTCCCAACAGGCCTGAGATGTTTAAATCTTAAACTATATTCTTTAGCTATAAAGGGCTTAAAGTAGATTATAAAGAATCCATAAAAGTACAGGTTATAAGCAAAAAAGTTTATGTTTAAATTCACAATTAATGAGAGGTTGACTTTCTTTTGGAGAAACAGATCCCTAATTATTTAAAACATTTAGCGTAGTAATGGATGAATATTAGACTTTGTCTTTATTAATATTAGACTTTATCCGTCACTCATCACATATCTAAATATATGATGCCTCTCTTTAAAAATTTACCATGTCTTTTTTCTAATTTTTAACTACTGGATGCTATTTAAAGAAAACACATAAATTTTAGGTATGATGTACTACAGATGAAAGAATAATTAGGACAGTATTGGCAATATTGTTTTATTTGGGGAGCAAATGTTAGTAACCACTGGTAGCAAAATAGCCTAAACTTAGTAACTAATTTGTTAATGGAGTATGGCATTGTTACCTAGATTGCTATCTTATTTCTGAACTCA